GAGGTGTGGACTAGAGCTACTCTGTCTTATAAAAACCACTCAAACCTTTTGAGTTTGCTCCACACAAGAAGAATATGCTTATGTGAGCCATGCCTCACCATAAAGACCTTTCAGAGGATCTACGATCAAGAATTGTTGATTTACATAAAGCTGGAAAGGGTTAAAGTGATTTCAAAGACTTTAGAAATTCACCACTGTACAGTTAGGCAAATGATCTACAAATGGAGACACTTTGGGACTATGGCTACTCTACCAAGAGGTGGGCACCCAGTCAAAATGACCCCAGGAGCACAATGAAGACTCATCACTGAGGTAAATAAACAACCCTGACCAACCAGTTATTAATTCCAGGGGTTCAGTTACCTTTTCTACTACCGTTTTGATTGTTGAATGAGTGTCTTCATAAAAGACATGAAAGATCAAATTTTTTTGTGTTGCTTTTGTTGGCACATTATATTCATCAGTACTCTTGACTTAGATTAAGATCAGATCACATTTTATGACAAATTAATGCAGAAAACCATGAAATTCCAAAAGGTTCACATTCTTTTTCTTGCCACTGTAAGTACTTCATCTACCTGTGATTGACAGTTCAGAGGAAATTACTTAAGCTATTATTCTGCATTTATTTTACAAATAAAACTTTGTTACTTCAGATTAATAATAGCCTGTTCCATCCATCCATTATCATCTGTTCATCCAGGGTTGGGTTTGCGGTAGTAGCAGGTTTTGCAAGGAAGTGCAGGCGTCCCTCTATCCGGCAACATGTTCCAGCTCCTCTGGAGGGAGCATTAAGGAGAAGGATATACTGTACAAAAACAAAGTCAGACAGAAAGGAAAGAGACATGGAGACATGTCCCTTTCATCTACTCTGTCCAGTTGAATAAAGGAAGCCTCAGAATGAAGACGACCAGTATAGGTTGTATGTTAATAAGATTAAGCTCGACAGTAAATGAAGGATATTGTTTCTGAGTGCTAAACAAACCAGGCATTGTTCCACAGGGAAACTACTGCATTAAAGCTGCAACATAAAACCTTACCAGGCAAGCCGATCGCTGGAATCTGTGTGTGTGGGTGTGTGGACAAGAAAGTGGGGCAAGAGAGTAAGTTTTGTGACTGTGTGTGCGTAATAAGAGGTGACTGTGAGAATTTGTGGCCCTGTGTTGGAGGTCATAATACAGCTGAACAGCTGGGGTTAAAAACATGGACATATACACATAAACACACACTGAAAGGTAACACTGCACTATGTCTAGCCAGATGGGGTATCACACAGTCCTCTGCACCCCTTTGGCTCCACAAAAGTCTAATAAAATCAAACTGAGATAATATTTGAAACACTACTCTAACTTTAACCACACACACAGACTGTTTTACCTGTTTACGTATGAGTGATCAGCTGTAGGCCTACATGACACAACCAGGGCATATGCTACCCAGGCGTGGGCCCAGCGCACAGCTGATGTGTTCACTGTTGCTGGTTGACATGTAAACCAAGATGAAGCAGGAGTTTTTTAGCAAACATTCAGTATGTTTTTGAGTTGGTTTAGCACTTTTGAGTGGAGAACACTTATTTTCTTATATCTTTATGAGGTGTACTGTAGATGACTGATCATGACAAATATTGGGGTGAACAAATTTCTGTTTTTCATATATTTGGGTGGGATGTATCCCCAGTCCCCCATGGAGATTATGTCCTAATAAAAAGATTATAACATTCACACTGACAAGTGGCTAATAATTCACACAGTTATTCTGTCAGTCTAATCTTTGATCGTGTAGGTAATTACAGTTGATTAATTTTAGTATATATAAACTTGCCACCATATGAAAAGTGGCCCTTGAAATGAGCCACAACTTAACCTTGTGTGTGCACATGCATGTGTCATGGGTGCACTCTGGTACTTCTAAAAATAGTACAGGCACTTGAACCATTTTTCCTCATTGTCAAATTACTGAAATGAACATGGACACGCCCAAACATCACTTGATCAGACATTGTGGATCCTGAAAATAGGGTCTTAAAATAAAAAGTTACATAAGGGCGACAAAGTATTAAAACACAATACACAAAAATAGGGTAATAGTATTTCCCAGAGTGAACTTCAAACATCGCACTTAGTAATTCACATGGCGGAGTTGGATATGGCATTACGCTTGAGAGGTAGTGAGGGGTTATTGTATATGTCTAGTAAGGTGTTATTACACATACTGTATATTCTCACATTTCTCACATTTTCGTATTTGCCATCAGTCTTACTGCAGCAGGGAAAAAGCTGTTGTAAAGTTTTGTTCTGTGTGCAACGATACTGTCCGCCCTGCTGTGCCTGAGGCTGTATGTGCAGTTTTTGTGTCTGAGCAGAGTGTGAGCTGGATGGCGTGGATCTCTGATTGTTCTCTGCCCTTTTACAACAGTGTTGCACGGTCATAAATAAAGTTTGCAGTCTTAACTTTTTTGCTTATTTGTGCTGTGTTAAAGCAAAAGAGACAAAACGGAACAACCTGACTGAATGAAATGTGATGTCGCACACTGAGGAGTGCCATTATGCATACTATAAGGCTATAGAAGGAAACAAAAGTGATCATAAATTATAAAGCCCAAGCAGGCCCATGAACCACACGAGCAGCAATAGTACACAAAAAAACAAATAAAACCAATGGCTTCCTAAAGAGCTGGAAAAAATATTGTGCTGCAGGATGTTTTGTCTTTGCTTTATGTACATTTTGAGTTGAATGTAAAAGAATGCAAATAATGTTTATATGTTGCAAATTATAGTTAAATCTATGTGCTGACAGTTTACAGGAATAAAAGTTTGAAGATCCCTAAGCTCGTTTATCAACAAGTGTGGAGATGTGAAGGCTGTGGATGATAGATTTCCAGTCAGCATGTTTTGCATTAGCATTCAGCCTGAATGAGCAGAGTTTCCAGGACAACAGTTCACAGCGTCATGACAACAGAAGAATCCCCGATGGCGTGTGGAGCACCCTGACTTCCTGTCGGCTTCCTGCTCTGCCACTCTCTATTGCCATGGATACAAAACCATCCCTTCTTTTTTCTATCTTTCAGTGCAGGGTCATGCCCCCAATTCTTCGCTTGTCTGGCAGATACCACGCACACACAGTGTTTTCATTCCTTGTGGGGACTTTACATTGACTTACATTAATTTCCTGTAGACTTATCCTAGCCTTAACCATAACCACTACTTGCCTAACACCAGACCCTAACTCATCCTAACCCTAAACCATGTTGCCACCCTAAAATTCAGTGATTTCTTCATGGGGACTAGCTTCTGGTTCCCACAAGGATGGCCGAGTCCCCACAGTGTGAGTGTGTTAACAGGTTTTGGTCCTCATGATGCAAGTAATACAAAGGCACATACACACACACACACACACACATTCAGAGACACATATATACATTCATAGAATTACAAACATAACCCTTACATAAATAAAAGCATTTACATACAGTATGTACATTTACTTATTACATATGTGCATTACTACTGTTTTAAAAAGTATGTGGAAAGTTGGAGGGGAGACTAAGTTCCCACCCAAAAATTTCTATTGAAATATGTGTGTCTGACTAAGGGGCAGCTGGTAGGGGTGGGAGTTAACTTTCAAACTACCAAATGGTCACAGCTGCAGGGCCCTGATGAACCTTTTCACTGGGAAAAAGGTTTGTCCTGTGCCCCACTTATATTGGAATTCAACACTTGACAAGCCTCTGTGAACTTCCATCAAACCAATCACCACCTAAAATAACAAAGCTATCTCCAGCTTACCAGATGAATACACTAGAACAATGTCAACCATTTCTGAAGAAAAAGAAAATACATGGTTTCACTTCTGATTTCTGCCTTTGTCTCTTTTTAAACCGAAAGCATTTCTCTGAACAATAAAAGGGATATTTGTCAGCAATTCGGGAAAAGCTATGCCTGGAACTCACCATTCATCTGCCTCTCTAACATGCATTCATGCTGTTTTTACAGCAGGTTCTCATATACAAAAAAGCTTGAATGGAGAAAAATGAAACTTTAACTTCCAACAAATGCTCCTGTTTTCTGTCCGACTAGATCACTTGGTTTAATGTAACCCTTTCAGTTAAAATTAAATTGTAAATTGGAATTACAACAGGAAAGGAGTACCCCAGCTCTATTAAAAAGATACCTTAAAAGTGCCCTTGTTGTCAAATGTATTATTAGGTGTCAGTATGGACGCTGCTTAAAAATGAGAGATGTATGACTTGCATGAGAATAAAAACAAAACTGCATGTTAAAGATAATAAAGCAAAAGTTAACAAGGCAAAAATAGGCAAAGCAACAGTTCATGATATCAGGATCTCACAACTTAAACAGGAGTTACTGCTTCCTTTAAAAACTAAAACGTGAACATGGTATTGCATGTGTTTTGGATAAAGATGCAAATGGAAATTCCCTTGTCCCCAGGGACTTTATGAAAAGTAATGCAATTGACTCCTCTCCGTGATAACATGGGACTGTAACAGCACCCTGATGACTGTGGTGTTTGTTGTTTCGGTCACACAGTTGGCAAAGGGGCAAACTGATGGAGAGAGAGAGAGAGAGAGAGAGAGAGAGAGAGACTACTAAAGAATTTTTAAACATAAGACGTAGCTTACAGCACTTGGGAGCTCACAAAGACCAGGGTGCATAGTGCTGCATCCTTTTTCAAACGGCAGAGTTTACCCACCAAAACCATCTGGAGACGCACTATCTCATACTGTAGAACCCAGGTCACACTTGGACCATATTATAGGAACAATTTCCCACGTCGGAATTGCCGTGTTCTAACTAATATCGTCAGCATGTAAAATTCATCTTTCTTCGATAGCAGATTTTGAAACAGCTTCAAGTGTGCAGAATATACGAGGGAATACAAGAGACGCGCCTTCAATTTCTGACAACGTTCAAAACATGCACATCATCGCATGCCAGCCACCACAGTCAGTTAAATCTGAAGCCCCCATCCCAGTTTCTTACCTGATTGGCTGAAAAGGAGGAGCTGGGTGATCATGATATGGGTTCTGGAAACAGCCGTCTCCATAGGCTCGGCAAAATTTAATGCAAATATACAGAATGAGGTTTTATACGGCAGATCGGGTGCATAAACATGCACTACCAGGTCACCCTTCCTGTGTGAGGAGACAAGAACAAATGCTCGAATCGGGTTGACTCGGGTCGGTGTGGTTCGGCACAGCCTGGTTCGGATGCGTTTGGTCAAAGGAGTGCCGGTCCGCGGGCTGCTTGGACGCGCACTCATGTAAATGGCTATATGAGAAGGGTTGTGTGCGTGCGCCGCCCACTGCCCTTAATGAAAATCATTGTGAGGCTCCTGATATTCATGGGACGTCTGAAATACGTAACTGTGAATTAGAGGCTTTTATTTCCTAAAACAGCAACACAGAACATTTCTACTGTATAGTTTCTTTATATGTGGTGCAACAGTGAGTTTATAGTGAATTTGCCAGAATTTAAAGTAATATTATGAAAAAATTCATAGGGCCTATATCAGGGTGAAAACGTGTTTTCATTTTGTGGTCTTTGTGAAGTAATAATTTCCAACAGCCTCACTGCCATGGCAATGTAATATTTCTTTATGATATAGGTAACTCGATTCGTCATGGCATATAAACAAATTTACAACATTTTACAGTATCTCATGTCACAGTTACATGCTCCATAATAAGTTGCAAAGAGGGAATGAAAGGCTACTTTTTGTGTTTGATTATTATAACAAGACAAGTGCTATATAGGAAAGGAAAATAACCTATGAAGTCCCTACAGGTAGAATAGCAGTGACTTCATAGGACATAAACAAAAGGCATGGTAAAGTTTTTCAAATGTCTCCAAGCTTACTACTGAGTACCACTGACAAACAACATGTCTCTGTCTTGAAACATCATGCCGACTTTTGACAAGGCATTTTGAGTATCTCAGAAAGTTTTAGAACAATTGGTAAGGAACCTCACATTACATCTGCTTGTACATTTCGTGGGGTGAGCAGAGAAAGGAACTTTAGTCCACTGAAGTGAAGTAGCATCACATAAAAAAATAATCTTTATCAAACCAAGCCAGGATGGTCCCACATCAGAATGAGTGTGTATGCATCTGTAATGGTGGTGAGATCTGACAGTGTAGCTGACTCTGGCACAGTACTGAGAGAAAGAGAGAGAGAGAGAGACAGACAACAGGCTTCAATGGTGCAATAACACAGCTGTGGGGAGCTTGTAAATGTTCGTGAGAGTGAGCGTGTGTGAGATAGGCTTAACTCACAATATATGCTGCTCTTGTTGCTGTGTGTGCATAAATTAATAATAATCGTCTTTAATTCAGGCGAGAACCTTGTCTTATTTGTTGGACCAACATTTTCTCAGATGCTTGTTACAATATCCTCTGCCTCTGTGCTTCTGGGACATACAGTACGTCGGGTGTATGTTAGGTCTTGGAAACAGGGAGGACCCAAATATGTGGATACAGGCCAAGGAATTTTTAATATAATGGGATACCGAACAGATAGGCAAGGGGTGTAACGTGAAGTGCTCAACCTGACAAAGCGTAACAAAAGATAGAGAAACTCTCTCAGAAAAGACTCTTTCTCACCTGTCACATCTGCTCAATGTGAATCTGCTCTCATCTGTGAAGACAACGGGGCAGTAGTGGTGGATCTGCCAATTCTTGTGTTCTCTGGCAAATGCCAAACGAACTCCATGGTGCTGGGCACTTGTGCCACCCTCATGGAGTCTATTTCTGACAGTTTGGTCAGAAACATGCACACCAGTAGCCTGCTGGTGGTCATTTTATAGGGCTCTTGGAGTGCTCCTCTTGTTATACTGTGATGATCAATTGTTCCCTTAATTTTTTTGAGAAGTATATATCAATTGTACCAGTGCCAGCCCTACGTTTTATTTCAGGTGACCCATAAGAGATTATTATCAGTTTGTTTATTCACCATGACAATAACATCACCAGCATCATCATTATGCCTTTAAGGAACATCTCTCATTCAAATGCGAGAAAAAAAATACACAAAATCAGAGCCCCAAATGTGGCATATTGTGGAGTGCAGAATGATATCATGGTTGTAATATATCATCAGCATCAATTAGGTTCCGAATAAAGAGTATTTCTGTGTAAAATATGGCCGTTGAAATCAAGCCGATGGTCGGCCATCAGCCACCATAGGGCTGTCAGTGAGCATCTGTTGGGGCTCATCTTCCTGGTGTGTCCCGCACTGTTGCTACTAGTCAGCCTCTGTTGGTAACTTCTCGGCTGATTTGACATGTTGAATTGGTGTCAGCGGTCAGGCCTCATTGGTGAGAGAGAGACAACTCTGATTGGCTGTCACTGCAGTATCCATGATTTCACCCATTTCTTATGGTTTCTCCTTGTTTTTTGCCTCCACAACCTTCTTTCTTCCACAACCAAAAGACCAAGGGCACAGAACAGCAGTGTCATTTGACACCGTTTTATCAGGGGAAGAATGATGATTACCACCTATTACTGTCATGGTGTGGCAGGTACAGGTGGACCCAATAGGCAGACACAGGCATAGGAATGAAACAAAAGAGAGTTTTTTTTTTTTTAATTAATCAGGAACGAGATACTGGGTGGATGAAAAAAGGAGAACAGAGGCCAAGCAGGAACTGGATGGGACTGAGGCAGAGCAGGTTCTGGATGGAAGAGGCAGGCTGCGGGGTGCTGGGGTTGAAGCAGGCAGGTAGCGTGACACTGGAGATGAAAGAGGCAGGCTGCGGGGTGCTGGGGTTGAAGCAGGCAGGTAGCGTGACACTGGAGATGAAGTAGGCAGGCTACGGGGTGCTGGGGTTGAAGGAGGCAGGTAGCGTGACACTGGAGATGAAGTAGGCAGGAAGTGGGGAACTGGAGATGAAGGCAAGCTGGCAGTGTGAAAAATGTCTCCACCTCAGAGGACAGGGGAAGTGTGTGGTGTGGTGATGAGTCTCGGGAAACAGGATAATCAGGTAAGAGGCAGGTGAGTAGCTCTTCAGCAGAGAAGGTCAGTGTGTAGTTTGTACCCATGCCAGAGAACATAAGGAACAGGTCAGTAGGCGGTGAGTAGCTTGACTCTCTGGATAGCTAGATGTGCAGATATCACTCACACAGGATGAACAAGTAAGTTGCTGGTGAGTAGCTTAATCAGCAGGAGAGCATGAGGTGTAGGTCTTCCACACACACCAGAGAGCAGGAGAAACAGGTAAGTAGCAGGTGAGTAACTTACTCAGCGACAGAGCGTGGTGTCTGCAGCTTAAGCCAAACAGAAGATCAGGAAGCAGAGGAGCATTGGGTAGTCACACAGGCAAGGGATAAGATCGTCAGCAATTGGGTGAGTGTAGGTAGGAACACAGGCATGAGATAGTCAATGAACCAGCAAGCATAAAACAGAAAAAGGGCGTATATGTAGTGAACTGAACCAAGAGATAACGAGCTGCAGGTGGGGATGATCAGAGCTGATAAGAGTGACATGGCAGAGCGGGAGGGAAAGACGGGGGGAAAACAACAAACAGGAAGCAATGGTGCAAACCGTGGCAATTACAACTTGCACTCACAACTTGACTGTCTTTAGTGCATGATGAAAAATGGAAGGGTTGAGCAGATATACTGTATATGAAATAGGAAGGAAATAAATGTGACATATTGCAAGTGTATGGAAAGAGAAACAGAGCTGGACCAAGCAGTGTTTTCACAAAGACAATTCATAGACAATTCTAGTGGTTCAACTGCATTGCTACATAATATAATGCAACTTTGGGGGGGAACAAAAACAAAAAAACAAATATATATATAGCAATTAAAATATTTAAAATATGTATCTTAGGTTGACTGGCCACTCTAAATTGCCCATAGGAGTGAATGTGGGTGTGTTGGGTTGTCTGTAAGTGTCAGCCCTGTGATAGACTGGCGACCTGTCCAGCGTGTACAGCGCCAACCAAACCAAAACATGCAGCAACCAGCAACATTAAAGAGGACATTAGTTAAAGTGAGATGCAATGATAGTCAGTACCTCACCATTTGAAACTGTAACTTACAGTGGGTACGGAAAGTATTCAGACCCCCTTAAAATTTTCACTCTTTGTTATATTGCAGCCATATGCTAAAATCATTTAAGCTCATTGGAATGATGCAACAAGTTTTTCACACCTGCATTTGGGGATCCTCTGCCATTCCTCCTTGCAGATCCTCTCCAGTTCTGTCAGGTTGGATGGTAAACGTTGGTGGACAGCCATTTTCAGGTCTCTCCAGAGATGCTCAATTGGGTTTAAGTCAGGGCTCTGGCTGGGCCATTCAAGAACAGTCACGGAGTTGTTGTGAAGCCACTCCTTCGTTATTTTAGCTGTGTGCTTAGGGTCATTGTCTTGTTTGAAGGTGAACCTTCGGCCCAGTCTGAGGTCCTGAGCACTCTGGAGAAGGTTTTCGTCCAGGATATCCCTGTACTTGGCCGCATTCATCCTTCCCTCGATTGCAACCAGTCGTCCTGTCCCTGCAGCTGAAAAACACCCCCCCATAGCATGATGCTGCCACCACCATGCTTCACTGTTGGGACTGTATTGGACAGGTGATGAGCAGTGCCTGGATTTCTCCACACGTACCGCTTAGAATTAAGGCCAAAAAGTTCTATCTTGGTCTCATCAGACCAGAGAATCTTATTTCTCACCATCTTGGAGTTCTTCAGGTGTTTTTTAGCAAACTCCATGCAGGCTTTCATGTGTCTTGCACTGAGGAGAGGCTTCTGTCGGGGCACTCTGCCCTAAAGCCCCGACTGGTGGAGGGCTGCAGTGATGGTTGACTTTTTACAACTTTCTCCCATCTCCCGACTGCATCTCTGGAGCTCAGCCACAGTCATCTTTGGGTTCTTCTGTACCTCTCTCACCAAGGCTCTTCTCCCCCGATAGTTCAGTTTGGCCGGACGGCCAGCTCTAGGAAGGGTTGTGGTCGTCCCAAACGTCTTCCATTTAAGGATTATGGAGGCCCCTGTGCTCTTAGGAACCTTAAGTGCAGCAGAAATTTTTTTTTGTAACCTTGGCCAGATCTGTGCTTTGCCACAATTCTGTCTCTGAGCTCTTCAGGCAGTTCCTTTGACCTCATGATTCTCATTTGCTCTGACATGCAGTGTGAGCTGTAGGGTCTTATATAGACAGGTGTGTGGCTTTCCTAATCACGTCCAATCAGTATAATCAAACACCGCTGGACTCAAATGAAGGTGTAGAACCATCTCAGGGAT